GTTAGTCCAGTTGTACACCATGCTTGACAACATGGCGCCCATTATCAGGCCTCTTGAGTTGAACATAAGCAGCTGCATCCATGCATGTTTCAGGGGAGAAAGACTTGGGGAAGCCCTTGCTGCATCAACCATCCTTCATGCATGGTGCATTTGGGAACTCAACTCCACATGGACCATGCATCATTTGTGTTGTCACCAAGCTGTAGAGCTCTGGGTCTTCTTCTTGCGATGGAATCTCTGCAGAAATGTGCAGATCAACCTCTTGAGGTGTGCATGGCTTTGAGGCTTGATCAAGGAAAATCAACAGATGCATGTGCAGTAGGCCACATTTCTGGTACTCAATTGTGTACACTTGTGCAACTGCTTTTCCAAAGATATTGCCTTTGTAGATCAAATCCAGCACCTCATTTTGCTTCAGATGGAAGACTCGAGCCACTAAGTCAGGTCAGTCTTGAGCTGTCTGGCCAGGAAGGAGGTTCTCAACAATTTTGTGCCATTTTGGATTTGCAGTGAGTGTCAAGAAGATGTCAGGGCATCCAGCCCAGCAAACAATAGCCATGGAGTCCTGGTATAGCTGGTACATAAAGTGACCACTGGAGACAAAGGAGGAAGGCAGAATAACATGCCTGCCAACTTGTGAAAACTCACATGTGTGGTCATTATTTGTGACCACATCTGCTAAGCCATTGTACACTTCTGCTCAGATTGTTCTTTGGTTAAATTCAATCCAACGCAGGTGTGCTTGCTCCACACAGGCCCAGGTATCAACAATGAACTGCTGGAATAGCCTTCCACAGCAGAAAAGGTGGAATGCCCATGGAAGGTTGCAGAAATGAAGGCAGTAGTGATAATACTTCATTTCTGTGACCTTTGTTCCTTGGGACATTCCCTGGACTTCTGCATCATCTTCTTGTTGATCTCCCAGCCCATCTTGCTTGCCCTGATTTTGCTGTACAGCCTGCCCAACCTTTGGTATAGCGCAATGCCATCCATGTTCACCATTTGGGAATGCCAACACATAATGCAACTGCATATATGCAGGGTTGCCAGTGCTCATAATTGTGAGCTGTCCATCTGTGTGATTATGTAGCACAAAGTCCCTTCGCTCATTTGTGAGTGTATTAGGGAGGACAACAGCAACTTCTTCCACAGTTGGCAAGTTATAGCGGCATTCGTCTTGCTTCGGGTCAAAATGCAGGCATACTTCCACCACTTCATTGGGTCTTCCAGCCTCTATATTGTGCCTCTCCTGTTCCTTCAGAACCTCAAATGCATGCTGAAATTGCTCTGCATAAAAGTGTTTCTCTCACAGGACCTGTCAGGGCACCAGCTCATTGGTTGGTCAAGAGACATGACTAAGCCTTTATGACATGGAAGTAGCTGGTATACCTTGGCATGTGCTGGAACCTGCTGGAAGGATTGGATGGTCAGGTGACCTGCTGTGCATGGCTGTGCATGACCTCATATGACCTCATCCTTGGTCATATGACCTGATCACCTGACTAGGCTGAGTAAGCAAGATGTTCTAGCAGGTTCCACCACAGAGGTATAAATATAAGGCCTACTCTGCCTGGGACTGTCTCTTCAGACTTGGTCTCTTAGGATCATCCACAGATACCTATACTGTAGATAGGTCTTAGTCATCAGGTCTACT